AAGGAACACATAGAGCATTTTTGAGTAGAACTTTATGGCTATTACCATTAACATCATTAATTTCAACTCTTGCATCACCTCTACCTGATACAATACCATTTTGCCTACTACCATCTGCCAATTCTATACAATGGTTAGAAGAATCAAAATTCTGATCAAATTTTACAAACTGGGATTTGTCACTTATGATATGTGATGTCGCTCCACAGTCTACCAACAGGCATTGTGCATTAACATCACTACTTACATTATTATAAACAGAACTGACACTAGCTCTAAATGCAAGTGAATGGCTATCTTCTTCACTGTTAGTTACAGACTTTACTGAATTATTTCTGCGGCAATAATTTGTATCATGAGTCGGGAATTTGCAGTTATCACACCACCTACTAGGCCTTGCTTCATTAGGATTACTGTATATTTGTCTTTACTTCTGCACTCAGATTTTCTGTGTCCTAATTTTCCACAGGAAAAGCATTTAATATTCATATTTTTTAATTTTGTACTGTATTCATCACATTATCTGCGTCGTCACCTTGTTGTTGTTGACACTTTTCAGTTTCTTCAAAACTTCTTAATGCTGCTTTAAAATCTGAGAAACTAACAGCTGTTTCTTACTGCATCACAACAGTAGAAAATGTCTGATATTCTAAAGGTAATCCATTTAATAACATTGCTACAAGTAAACTGTCACTGATGGTTTCACCTGCTAGTTTCAATGAAGCTTCTGTAATTTCAGCCCGTATCACGTAGTCGGTAATGGTCTCTTCATTGGATTTCTTGAGTGACGTCAGTTCTGTATACAAGGCAATAATTCTTGGCTTGCTGCTGCCTAGATAATGTTCACGGAAAATCTTTAATGACTTCCTACCGTCATCTTTGGCATCTCGGATAATAAGGGAAAGACTTCTATCGTCGAGGTACTGGACTAGTTCTGCAAACACTTCAGCGTTCTTCTCCGTCACCTCTGCACCGTCTCCATCTTGATTAACGACATCGAGGAGTTTTTGAAGTCTTAAATGGCCTAAGAACTTCACTTCCCACAACTCATACTTGCTTTCATCACCATCAAACACCAACCTGTGCCTGGGCCCATAACCTGTTGAAGTTACAGTGTTCATTTTTGGTGGATATCAACGAAATATGATGCGAGAGGCTCAGACAATGACACAAACGATGTTGCTCTTTCCAGTATATTTTCGGGACCTTCCGTAATAACAAAACAAACATAACATGCACATTCAAAGTGGCGCTTTATTCCACAACTAACACAAAATATTATACAACATATTCACATAAATATGGGATAACCTAGTTTATATCTAACACATTAGACGCAGGATAATTTGTGATGCTTTTTTTTCCGCGTCTTATATGCCGGCAAATACGGTATTGCATTTTTTTTTTTTATGGGAATTAGCCCACCCAGGCACAGGTCACTGACCCACATTGGGGCCTAGTGGGCGAAAATGCAATAATAATAATAATAATAATAATAATAATAATAATAATAATAATAAAGAACCATAAAGAAATACAAATTGAAAAAAAAAAATTGTGAGAAACAATATGCAGTGAACCCTCACTTTACGCGGTTAATTCAACCTACGGCGGCCCGCATAAAGTGAGAAACGCGTAAAGTGAACAACATAACATATGGGATTAATTGAAATAGAGACCGGGCCGATCCCCAAACTCCACTTTTTCAGATACAATACCTACGTTTAGGTTTTTTAACACTTACATTAGTAGAAAAGATGGCTGGGCACACGGGGATGGGGGGTTGGTTCCGAGGCAGAGGGCAGATTATTGGCCCTCAACTGTATCACTTGTATCAATTGTATCACTATCCACCACAGAGGCTTGCAGGGCCTCTTTGTCAAACCCCTCAAAGTCCATATCCTCACTATCATTATCACTATCACTGACTTGGGCCGGCTGGTGAAGAACTTGGTAATGTTTTGATGACTGGGCGACCTTGTGCGCACCCTGCTCGTGCCGCTCTCCACGTAAAAGGGTACACATACCGCGGAAAGTGAGCATTCTGGTTTCGGCAGGGTACCGCGTAAACGTGGAAACGCGTAAAGTGGGACCACGTAAAGCGAGGGTTGACTGTACAGTATATATGTTGATTCCCTTCTTCTCTCAAATGCCCGAGAACTTCAGCTCATTGTCAACGTACACACCTAGGCCCTTTTCACATTCAGTCTCAATTAATGAAGTTTCTTCGTCTCATTGGGACATATGATACGCCTCCTTACCGTTTATACGCCCCAGGTGCAGCCTTTTACACTTAGTTACATTGAATCTTAGCAGCCATTTCTTCGGCTATTCTTGAAATTCACAGATGTCCTTCTGCAGCTCTTCACAGTCTGCTTGGTTCTTAACTTCCCGAAATAACTTGGCATCATCCGCAAACATTTGGATGGAGGAATGTACAGCGTCAGGCATGTCATTTATGAAGCAAACAAACAACGGCGGGCCCAATACACTGCCCTGTGGCACCCCGCTTATGACGGGAACACATGATGATTTCATGCCATTAATCACCACACTGCTTGCAGTCATGGAGAAAGTCTCCGATCCTTGCTAGGACATTTCACCGAATCCTGTACCCTTCCAGTTTAATTTTCAGCCTTTCTTGGGGTCCACTGTTGAAAGCTTTGGCAAAATATAGGTAAATTTTGTTGATATTACCACCCTGTTCCAGAATATGGGTCCAAATATCCAATACCTTGAGTACAGTATAGTCTCAATTTACGAGGTCAATTGAACCCGTGGAGGTCCGCGTAAAACGAGAAATGCATAAACGAAATAACAGAACATATGGGATTAATTGAAATAGAGACTGGGCCGACCCCCAAACTACACTTTTTCAGACACAATACGTACCTTGTAGTAAAAATAACATCTTAATTTTATGATGGTATGCACACACAATTAATAATTAAGAGAAATACAGTTGCCGGTTAATGTCCATTCAAATAATGGACTCAACTCCCCCCCCCCCCTTCTTCCAATGCTCACTGGCTCCTCCCTCTCTGAGAAATGTTTGGGTTAAAACACTAGGTTTTAAGGTTTAGTAATAAAAAATACCTCAGACTAAAGTTAGGATAATATAATTGACATTGTTGGATTCCTTGCAAGACAAGAAATATTTTGAATATAAACGTCATGTATTTTGCACAAAAGAAAAAATTTTTGCTCTTTCTAATAAAATTCTTAAATTAGATCTAAAATTTGTATGTCTAATGCAAATTTTAGGATGTTTACATTTAAAATAATCACCATCTTATAAGAATTCCAGCAATGTAAATTATATTCTGGCCGGGTAATTTGTATGAATTTTATGAGCTAAAAACAAATATCTTCAGTAAATAAACAAATTATACTTCACCCAGACACTATCTGTCAATCAAAATACCCCACCTCCCGCCCCCTCCCCCTCTTCCCACGCTTGCTGGGTCCCTCCCTCCCTCCCTCCCTCCCTCCCTCCTCCCTCCTCCCTCCCCCCACCTTCCCTCCCTACCAGAGAAATGTTTGGGGAAAAACAGTATGCTTACATTTTTAGTAATAAATAATACCTCAGACTAAAGTTAGGATAATATAATTGACATTGCTTGATTTCATGCAAATAATCACCATCTTATAAGAATTCCAGCAATGTAAATTATATATTTTATTAGCTAAAAACAAATATCTTCAGTAAATACACTAATTATACTTCACCCGCGTAAATGATGAAATTTACCGAGTAATTAAAACATTTCATTCTGGCAAGGTGCCGCGTAAATGACCAAATGCTTAAACAAAAACCGCGTAAATCCAGACTATACTGTAATTGTGTTAAGCAGGAGTGCCGTGGCATAAAACCGTGTTGGCTATCCTTTACAAGGTTGTTTCGTCGTAGATGTTCCATCATGGCATCTCTTATAATGCTCTCAAGTACTTTACATACTATGCTGGTTAGGCTCACTGGTCTATAGTTATTCGTGGAGTGACGATCGCCGTTTTTGAAGATAGGACTCACATAAACCATTTGCCAATCACTGGGGACCTTTTGTTCATCCAGGCATTTACAGAACAGGATCTAAAGGGACTCAGCAAGCTCATTGCACAACTCCCTTGGCACTCTGGGATGCACCATGTCTGGGCTGGGACTCTTATGAACCTTTAACTTTGACATTTTGTTTCTTATAACCTCTTCTGTGAACACAATGTGGGTTAGTGCTATGTTGAACCGTCTGTCCTCAAACGCAGGAAGATTAAGCGCATCCTTTCTTGTGAACACCGAGGAAAAGAAGCTGTTTAATGCCTCAGTTTTGTCCTGGCTAGAATCTGCGTAGCTACCATCTTCATGCCTCAGATCTGACACTCCAACTCGCATTTTTAATTTTGACTTTGCATAGTGGTAAAACGCCTTTGGGTTTGACTTGACCTCGCTTGCAACCAGCCTCTGGAACTTCTTTTCAGCCCTTCTACACTCTGACTTTGCTTGGTTTCTGGCTCTTGCATACATCTTCCTGTCCTGCTCATCGTTTGACCTAACCCACGCCTTGAATTTCTGGGTTTTCTTCTTAACTTTGTCGACCGCCACATGGTTCATGTGTAGGGGTCTCCTTGTATTCCTAGAGGCACTGGGTTTGGTCTTGGATATATAATTCTCGATCAAATGGTTCACTTTACTAGTTATGATATTTATTTTATAAATATTTCATGCAAAAATCTCAGTGTTGTAGAGATGTCTGTTTTTCATAAATATTTCAAATCAGAGGCATTTAATTTGTAATTTGAGGATAGCGTTTATTTATCATTTGTGCAATGCCTCTAGTTATCAGAAGAGGATAAAGGTGTTGTCTAGTTCTTGGAACTGGGAACACCATTACACTCATGTTAATTGTCACTTTAAGATTCGGTGGCATGCATCTTACTCATATATGGTGAGAATGTAAGCATTAATTTCTTAGTGTGAACATTGATTCCTTATAATAGAACATATATAAAATAACACTAAAATGTTTTGCAGATTTGACAAGTTTAATGCCAAATACAACCCTGTTGGAGAGTCTCGACTGCGTGAGGTCTTCCTCAAAACTGACAACTACCTTAATGGAAGACATTTTGGTCATATAATAAAGGTAAGTGTTTCTCAGGTTTACTCATAACCAGTAAATTACACATACCATAATACTTGCTGCCATCACCATCACCTCCATTGCCACCAATTTTACTTCTATTATCATCACACTCGGTGCCATAATCCTTCACTGTTATCACCATCACTATAACCCTCACCACCTTCACTCTTACTACCTTCACTACCTCCACCTTCAATATTACACCCATGATGAAAAGGTAGACTTGAAATATACAAAAGGTTAAACCAAGTTGAATACTCAAATTTTCATTAAATAGCATTAAAGGCTACTAAATATATAGATGAATTATTATTAACTTATCCATTGGGCAAGAACAATTGTAAAACTACAATTCCCTCCTTTGTGTAATATCAGAAATGGACTTTTATATATTTGTGTGACATAAACCTTTGTTTACTTTTTTGTAGGAAGTAATGTTTGACCTGGAGGAAAGCAAGTATCAGAATGCTGAATTGAGGCTTTCAATATATGGGAAGTCAGCTGATGAGTGGGATAAACTGGCACACTGGGCTGTAGAGCACAATGTGCACTCGGAGAATGTGCGCTGGCTCATCCAGGTGCCACGCCTTTAGTGAGTACAATATACTGTCTCTAGCTTATTCATTTATATACTGTGTCTTCTTATTCTATATATATTTCAGTTGCATTTTTAGTTGAATTCCATTCACCATGCAGCAGCTATCATTAATGTACTACTCAATTTGAATATTCTAGAATGTTAAAACATACCTATATTTGGCAACTGGGTGCTGATTTCATGATTGCCCCCTCACCTGTCACAACCCTCACCCTTAAAAGAGCAAAATTAAAATGTGTGAGTTTACCCTCAAGTCCACTCCATGCTTTGTTATTAAACAAAGCACAGCGTGAACTTGAGGGTAGACTCACATTTTCAATACATTAGTTTCTGATTATTTGTGAGAAGATTTTCCCATTACAGGTTGACTATCAAAAATCCGGCAACCTCGGGACCTGAGGAGTACCGGATTTTCGAAAATGCCGGAAAACTGATGGTTATATTTGCTGTATAAGTTTAACAGAAAATGACTACCTGTACAGTCCTTTAAAAAAGAAAATTAAACACTTAAGTTAGGATAATATAATTGACATTGCTGGATTCCTTGTAAGACCAGGAATATTTTGAATATAAATGTCATATATTTTGCATAAAAGATAACATATTTACTCAGAGTAAACATAATATCTAAAATTTGTATGTCTAATGCAAAATCCATGATGTTTATATTCAAAATGATCATCAAATTGTAAGAATTCCAGCAATGTAAATTATATTCTGGCCGGGTAATGTGTATGAATTTTATGAGCTAAAACAAATATCTTCAGTTAATAAAAAAAAAAATATTCTTCACGACACTATCTGTCAGTCAAAGTACCCCAACTTGCCTCCCCCCCTCTTCCAATCGGGCCAGATGGTCGGTCGGTCCCAACCCTCCCCCCACCCCCCACCTTCCATCCCTACCAGAGAAATGTTGGGTGAAAAACCTAATTTTAACTTTTAGTAATAAATAATACTGTACCTCAAACTAAAGTTAGGATAATATAATTGACATTGTTGGATTCCTTGTAAGACCAGGGAATATCTTGAATATAAATGTCGTATTTTGCACAAAAGATAACATATTTATTCAGAGTAAACATTATATCTAAAATTTGTATGTCTAATGCAAAATCTATGATGTTTATATTCAAAATGATCATCAAATTGTAAGAATTCCAGCAATGTAAATTATATTCTGGCCGGGTAATTTGTATGAATTTTATGAGCTAAAACAAATATCTTCAGTTAATAAAAAAAAGAATATTCTTCACACCGTGCCAGATGGTCGGTCAGTCCCTCCGTCCCCCCTACCCCCCACCAACCCTCCCTACCAGATGTGTGGGAAAACCAGAATATTTACCTTTTTAGTAATGTCATATATTTTGCACAAAAGATAACATATTCACTCAGAGTAAACATTATATCTAAAATTTATATGTCTAATGCAAAATCTATGATGTTTATATTCAAAATGATCATCATATTGTAAGAATTCCAGCAATGTAAATTATATTCTGGCCGGGTAATTTGTATGAATTTTATGAGCTAAATAAAAAAAAAAAAATATTATACTTCACCGCGTATATGAGTAAATGAACCGCGTTAAGTGAAAGTTCGGTTCTGGCGAGGCACCGCGTATGTGAGAAATCACGTTAAGTGAAACCGCGTAAAGCGGGGTAATACTGTGTATATATATATATATATATATATATATATATATATATATATATATATATATATATATATATATATATATATATATATATATATATATATATATATATACATATACATATACACATATACATACAGTCAACCCTCACTTTACGCGGTTAATTCAACCCACAGGGTACCGCGGAAAGTGAGAAACGCGTAAAGTGAACAACATAACATATGGGATTAATTGAAATAGAGACCGGGCCGACCCCCAAACTCCACTTTTTGACGACACACAACTATGTTGTAGTAAAAATATTGTCTTAACTTTATGATGGTATGCACACACAGTTAATAATCAAGAGAAATATCAATAATATTAGGTTTTTTAACACTTACATTAGTAGAAAAGATGGCTGGGCACACGGGGATGGGCGGTTGGTTCCGAGGCAGAGGGCAGATTATTGGCCCTCACCTGTATCACTTGCAGGGCCTCTTTGTCAAACTACTCAAAGTCCATATAAGTCCATATCCTCACTATAATTATCACTATCGCTGACTTGGGCCGGCTGTGGTGGGTGGCGGGTGAAGAACTCGGTAATGTTTTGATGACTGGGCGACCTTGTGCGCACCTTGCTCGCGCCGCTTACACAACATGGCGGGAGAGATGGCTGGAGGTTTGGATCCAAAAATGGCGCGGCTCGCCAGTCGCTCTCCGCGTAAAGGGGTACACGCACCGCGGAATGTGAGCATTCCTGTTTCGGCAGGGTACCGCGTAAACGTGGAAACGCGGAATGTGGGACCGCGTAAAGCCAGGGTAGACTGTATATATATATATATATATATATATATATATATATATATATATATATATATATATATATATATATATATATATATATATATATATATATATATATATATATATATATATATATATATATATATATATATATATATATATATATATATATATATATATATATATATATATATATATATATATATATACAGTTTTACCCCGCCTAACGCGGTTTCACTTAACGCGTTTTCGCATATACGCGGTGCCTTGCCAAAGCTGAACTTTCACTTAACGCGGATTTTTTCCACATATACGCCGTGAGTGTCCGAGACGCTATTTTTAGATTTGCCCCACCCGCCACCCTGCCTGACTGCCTGTTTTAGCTCATAAAATTCATACAAATTACCAGGCCAGAATATAATTTACATTGCTGGAATTCTTATAATTTGGTGATCATTTTGAATATAAACATCATTTATTTTGCTTTAAACTTACAATTTTTAGATTAAAATTTTTCTCTAGGTAACTATGGTATCTTTTGTCCAAAATATATGACATTTATATTCAAAATATTCCTGGTCTTACAAGGAATCCAGCAATGTCAATTATATTATCCTAACTTTAGTTTGAGGTATTATTTATTAAAATTTAGTGGTTATCCCACACATCTCCTTGGGACGGTTGGTGGGGGGTGGGGGGGAGGGAGGGACCAACCA